CCAAATAAACTATACATACACACTCCACATTACAACACTCATCAATGTGAAAACCAAACATCCAAGGATGATTAGCCGGGTGCGTTTTTCTGTTAGTTTAAACTTGCATTCTATGGGAACAATGGGATTGGAATTAGTAAAGGATTTAGTCCTAATATAACGAAATAGTGTTTGAATTTTTTACTAAGAAAAGTATTTGCATTTAGCACTACCAGTGCCTCTAACAAGACATAGATTAGAAAAAAAAATCTGAATCTTGGGTTTTGTTTGCTTGTTTGGTGTGACAGTTTGTGGAGTGCCAACACAAAATTTAAACGTCCAACAGTGACTAAGGACAGACCCGTGTTTTTATTTCATCAATTTAATAGTAATGAAAATTTTGGTCAGTGAATAAAAGGGAAGTCTGTTCCCTTCTTTGGTGGACTAAGAAAGTGGAAACAAAAAAGAAAATCGCCGCAGAGAATCTCTTCAAAGTTTGTCATTTTTTATTATTATATTTCAATTCAATGTCATCCAGCAGGCCAACCCCCCCCCCAATCACTTTCCCCCCTAGTTATTTTAAAACACAAATTTATATTAAAAAAATTTAAATCAATCTCACCTTTCTTCAAATGCACTCCTCCTGTTTAATTGTCTGAACTGCAGTGTAACTCACTGATTTTTCTTTTGGTCCGGGGTTTTTTTGGGGGGGGGGTGTTTACTTATGTATATAAATATAAATTCTTCTTTTTTTTCAAGCTAAAATTTTCAAGTATAATTAATACAGTAAAATGTAGAATCTGAATCCGTCATAATTTTCAAGCGTTGTAACTAAATTCCAAGGCGGGGCAAGGTCCCTAGGTTCAAAGAGGGAAACCCCCACGCCATCCTCAATGCATGTGGAGAGTATGGTTCACGCGCGATAATATGGAGTTGGAGAATCGCGGGGATGAATCAAGAGGGGAAGGGTAGGCACGGACTACCATTAAACCACTGACACGCCTCACTGCCTCCCTCTCCCCAAACCAATACCCTTCCTACCCACATGCCACGTCACCACCCTCTCCGACTATTTATATTTAAAACTAATTACAGCACATCATTTCATACAAAAATGATTTATAAATACACTTCTCCGAGATATAATTTTTTCACGGATTGAAAGGAAATATATATTACAATAATTTTTCCCCGAAAATACACAGGGGTATGTGCATTTCTGTGAGTATACATTAGTATTAAAGGACACATGGACAACTGTAAAGGGTTTGCACATTGAAATTTAACATGGCACCTGCTGGTCCTTGTATGAATCAGAGGGGCTGAATTTAATTCATTAGTACTCATTTCGTCCTTTAAATATATACCAAATATTTGCGGTCTGATAGAGTGAGAGGAATTGCTTGCATCCAACGTGTTTGTGCTATTCCGGTGCTAATATATGATATTTTCTAGAATATAGTATTCTTGATCCATATTATAAGATGTACTGTAAGTAATAATCTACCTTTTTCACCTCTGACAATTACTCTTCTAATTGTCTTGGAACCATGTTTTGAGTGGCTGGGTTCATTGTCTTTCATATTATGAAGCTTACATTCTTAAGCTCTTTTTTCTTTTCCAACAAATTTTGCAAAACTTGAAAAGGAGATTGATGAGGGAGGGCCATGATGCGTGGTAAGTGGGAACTTTAAAGTGAATCAGAGCTGGTCAATGAATGGATTGGGGAATGGAACGTCCTTTTCTGGTGTGGTGTACGCTAAAACAATAATTGGTTTCTTTATTAATCCTCAAACTTTTGTCCAGATCTCACATCTTGGACCTTCCCTTCCCATCATTCCTTCCATCCTTAAATGCTGTGATCATAACTAACTACACTCAAGCACCCCCCCCCACCCAAATCCTACGCCCAACATTGACTCTGGAAAAGGCACATTCATTCGTGAGAATCAAAGCAAAACAAAGAGAATATCAGCATTTGAAATTCTCTACAAAAAATAATGATTAAAAGCCCGTTCGGGCTGTTTATGATTTTTCTCTTTCCCTTGCACATAACTCCCTTCTCATTCAGTGGGAAAAAAAAGAAAGGGGGGGGGGGGAGAACAACAAACATAGTTTAAAGAATACATTTACTCATTAGCTTTTATTACTTATCAATGAAATCATTGGAACTGCTACCAGCAACAAAAGAAGCTTCGTCTCTTTTCTACCAAAAGCAATGAGTGCATCCATCACATCGTAATTCTTTAATGTTTCTGCCGCATGCTCAAGAATAATCCACTGCACAGTAAGTGGCAACAGTAACAGACTCTCGAGGCTTCATGGTCACCGAGTAAAAGTATTCCTTATTCACAGCCCGTGAGTTAAGAACTCAAGATATTCTCCCATAAGTTGAAGCACATTTCAACACCAATCACATTACCAACTTCATGAGATGCTTTTGGTTTATGAGCCAGAAAAATAAAGGGACGATAGGACTTGGGCGTGCATAAAGTTACAGACTGGGAGCCGCAAAAACATGTGGAGCCAGAGGTTGTTGGACAAAACCAGCCTGCAGAATGCAGATGTGACAAAGAGATGTGGAGAGTGATCAGAAAATTTAGAAACAAAAAAATTACAGACGAGTTGGGAAAAAGCAATGAAGACAATGAACAACCTTGCTTAGGTCTGCGTGAGTTAAAACGTCTCCATCACCATTGTGGCCAGCATTCCTTGCAGCAGTGTCCATCTGCAACGTGGGGACCAAGTCAAGAATAACAATCAGAAATGCTTAAGACATATGAAGTGCGTAATCTATTAACTTGTCTAGATCGAGGAGTCAACTGACGAAAAATAATATGTACCACTAGTTATACTTAGTCCATTGGTTTAATCCATGAGATGTGTTTAAAAGACATATGAGCAAGATAGGAACATATCATTGCAATCTCTTCGTTGAGTTTTTACCTATTATGGTACAGTATGGCGCCTCGGTTGCCTCAAGTGTTCAGATTGATCTCACGGTGGAAGAATTATAGACTTTCATCAGTAGAAATTCAAGTCAGCGTAGCTGTAAGAATGTGAATGTGGCAACAACTCTTCTACTTCAATCCTGGCACTAGTGCAACTGGAGCTCTTTTTGATTCGGCTTCGGTTAATAGACTCGACTTCTGCCAGGAATATGCCATATACTGGTCTATGATCGGAGAATCTTGACTCTCCACGAACATAGGATAATTGGCGGAGGCCCCTTCCATGCCACAATATACGATCACACCTGTATTAACAAATAGATGGATCAGCTTAGCTTTACATGTAGAACGATATAATTTCAGAACAATAATCCAGGACACAAATTTTGACTTTGGCATGCAGTTTCATATTTTTGCTCTATGGTTCTTATTTACCACTTCACTTGCACGTGAAGAGTGGAGATTTTGGTTTTTCCAGAAAAGAAGAGTACCATGCTGGGGTTCTTCGCTTTTGTTTCGAGCGTCTTTCATCACCTGCATATCTGTCTGAATTATTAGAATACTTGTAGGTGGGAGGAAAATATATCTTCCCTTCATTCCATCCTTCAAAGACACGGCCATGCCTCTGCTCTATACGCAACTGAAAGCAAGAAGTATTAAAATTGCCAGGATGATATTAGAAATTAGTTGAGAAAAGAAAGAAAGCTTTGAAATCAGAATTAGCTGAACAGGGAATAAGAAAGTATCATGCCTGGTCATTCTCTAACAAAGCCTTCCAATTTCGCATCTCAACAAGGGCTTTTGCTGCACGGTAAGAAAGTGCTATCCGATAATTTAAATCCCCCAGCCAAATTATTCGGCTACACCAATTAAACCAAAGAATAAGTTGAGTACATTTTATTGAGGTTCAAATGTTTCAAGCACCACATACAAGTTAAGGATTTGGAAATGATGAGGGCTTACTCATGTTCCAGAATTGTCTGAGGAGAATTCTCATCTCCCACGCCGTGAACCCTGGGAAACCTAGTCTTTCTAAGAATCTCAAGGACATCTGAATTTCTCCTCAGCTCATCACCATCTTTTTGTCCAGAAGTCAAATGACTACAGATGAAGCAAAAGCTTGTTTGGTGCAAAGACATGCTAATCGAAATGGAACCCTGGAAAAACCAACAGATATAATTTTTCCTCCTTGTTTGGTTCATCATAAGCAAAACTACGGAAAAATATACATTACGAGCTGCAATAGTGTACCTTGTTTCCAAGATAACCCATCAATCCTCTGCCAACACAAGACACTTTCATGTTGTGAACTTCATCTCTGATATCACTTTTCACCCAAACTGTCAAAAATATCCCAACCATTTGCTTGCTGGCAACCAAACAGTATCGTGAGTTCCCTGTCGATCTATCTCTGTCCTCTGCAGAGAAGGAAGCACTGTATGACATTGGTGAATATTGGGTTATAACAGGGGAATCACCAGGTCCATTTTCATCATCTGAGGAACACCATCTATAATTGGGTTCATAGTCGCTACTCCTATGACCGAAGATCATTCTATCACAGACACTGAGACGGCGATCGAGCTGTGATTGTGACAGTGACGTGTCATTGTCCATTCTCATACTGCGACTTAAGGATTGGAAGGACCTCCGGTGGAAGAAAGAGGTTTCCTTCTTCCTCATTGATTCTTCAAAATCAGCGTCTGCCTCTACAAGTGGATCAGGGACTGGTGATGGAGTGTGGCATCCACCAGTCGTTCCAGGAAGACTGTTTAGAGTTTTCCGAATGAGAGCTAGCCATTTTTTGGCAGGGCCATTGTCTTCAGTGCCCAAAACATTACCGGCATTGAGAGGTACAATTTCTTGAAACCTGGGTGCAATACATAGGGGAACAAAATGAATCTTGATCTTGCACTTAACTGAAGGGAGAATACATTCTATGATCAGTAATTTACCCAAGGACATAGATATCAGCAGGTGGAGAGGTGTGGAGCCAATCTTCAAGATTCAAATAGCTCGGGGGAGATTTTCCAGCCACATTCCAAGTAGCAACGAAGATCCTGCATCCATAAGACAGGAAGAATACATGAGAATACAAATTCTTTTCAATTTCCTATTCATATTAATAATGAAGACAGAAAATTACTGCAATAAATTGGAACATGGAGCATACCTATAATTATGCACGTCTTTAACCTGAGAAGCATCAAGGTCAACCTTACCCCGCCGCAATTTGTTCGAGTGTCTCCTGCTGCTTGATCTCCCTATGCATCAGGAAGGGGATTACTTGTTTCAGAGAAATTAGCCGCAGAAATAAACAAGAAAGGGAACTACAGAACAAGCGCCTAATAAGCTTGTTTTCATCTTTATGTTTGTGGGGTTAAAGAATGGTGTGGTCCTAAGCAGTAGGAAATGTTAAGGTGTCTGATACTGAACCTGTTTTGCTTCTCTTGAGAGAGCATGCCTCCCGCTCTGGATAGTTGCTTCTCCACTCTTCATCAACACCTAAAACAGAAAAACCATGTTAAAGCTGTGTTCTTTCTACTGTTAATTTATCACCCCGCTCATAGAAACGCAACAAAAACTATCACATTCTTGGGAAATCATTGAACAAATAAAACAAAAGAGATCAGATCTCGAGCTGAAAAAAACAGACCCGATTAAAACAAGACATCATGTTATATATAGTTGCAGAACAACGATGCAAGTTTGTTCCAGGTTCTGAAGAATATATGGAAAATTCAGTTTAAAAGAGGCAAGAGAAATCTCGTTTTCTTTTGACGCACAGAAGCCAATATTCCAAATCATGAAGCCCTAAACTACATTCAAATCATGCGGGAATTAACCAATCACCTCCACAAAGGACATCGTCTGCGTGAAAGTCCTCGCCTTTGCTCTTGATATTGAACCACTTCTTGACCAATGTTTTGGGCCACGAAAACTTCACCAAGAACAACAGGAGTCAACCATTGATCTGAGAATATAAATGCAACAGATTTTAATGGAGAGCTGGTGTTTCCCAAACCTTGCTTTTCTTCGAGTTCTCATCTCTCATTGTTGAGACAACTTCATATAGTTATCTCTAATTCAATAACAATAGGTATACGTATTCCTTCGATGTTTACTATGTTTTATCTCTCGGGTCTTAGCTTAAAGAGGATTCAGAGGATGAAAAATGGAGCAGGAGAGTAAATGACTGTGCTGAACCTCAGTTCTGAACCAATATCCTTGACACACGGACTCCTGTTCAATCCCTGGCTCTGATCATTTATCAGTTCAAACAATCCGAAGTGGAGGGAAGGAAAAACAATGGCTTAGATGACCAAAGCAATGTGCCGAAAGTTTGGTATGCGACCATAGGGAAGAACAAAACAAAGGGGCAAACCTCTGTTCTCAAGTAACGTGGAGAAAACAAGTTAAAGAACAGAGTGAGTGGTACCGGATGCAGTTACAAATCGAAACACATAATAGGTCGTTTCACTTCCATTCCTGTGTTTCTGTCTCTGGAGAAAAACAAAAGAGGAAAGAAAGTAAATTGGAAGGGACCGAAGAAGCAAAGAGGGAGGCAATGTGGAAGTTATGGCACTGTGGGGGTAGAAGAAGACAATGTAGAAGGACTACATAGAAGAGAGAGAGTGTGTGTGTGTGTGTGTGTGTGTGTCTGTTAGAGAGAGAGAATCTCTGTTTTGCAAAACCTCGTTCACAGTCGAGAGCCAAGTATGGAATTAGCAAGGACAATAAAGTGGAGGCAGCCAAGTTTCGGCTTCTCTGTCTCTCTCTCGGGCTTTCACTTCAAATCCGACCCAAGCTTAAGGGGCTGTGGTTATATTGATCAATGCCCACCCACTCACCCAAACCTGCTTGAACTCTCCCTCTCTCTCTCTCTGCCCACGGTCAGCAAAGGATGCTTTGATCTAATGCCCAAACACAAGCAGCAGTACTTGTAAGCAACCCATGTTCTATTTTTGGTCTTGTTAAATGAGAAAGCACGTAAAGAAGAGTAAAAGATAAAGAGGATGGGTGGAGGGTCTGCTCCTTTAAACTCTCTTATTTTAACATATCTTTTACACACAAAAACAAATTTTGCATGTTTGTGTTCCCTACACGATCTGGTAGATATCTAAAAAGCTTCGGGTATGTTTGCTTGGATGGAAGGAATGTTTCATGCTCGGAAGTAAATTTTTTTGTAATTTGGTCTGTGGTGAGATTGCAGATATCCAAGCCTATGTTCTGGATTTTCATTTTCCAAAGTGTAGGGGGAGATGTTTCTATTCTCATGCACTCATTCATATAGATCTCGCGACAAACCAAAAATTGGTTTTGAAGAATTCATCGGTTCTACAAATGTCTCCTCTAAACCCCATTCTTTGCTTTTGGTGTAGAACAACACCCAAGCGTGGTAGTGAATGTTAAGAGTGGTGCCCGAGAAGACAAAAAGGCAAATTTATCAAATACTGGGGGGAAGGGGGGGGGGTTTCTTGTATTGAGCAATTCACATATCGTTTGCTTAAAAGCACATGGATTCATGTATTGAAATCATGCTTTTAAGGGGAGTGACGCGTCCTCCGATGAATCACTTGAATACAGTTTCACACGAATGCAGGATCTTGTTAAGCAACGAGGAGGTTTGATTTCGCTGCTTAGGCCACGCGATCTCCTTGAATTTTGTGAAACTGCCAACAAAATCCTAGTTTAACAACACCTAGGCACCAAAGTAACGTCTCTGTTGAAGTCTCCACTCTCCACCCCTTTTTTGTTACGCTAACGCCACATGTGGGAGACTGTGTCTGCAATCCCCCTGCTCTTTTTTTTTTTTTTCCCAAAGAAAAAGAAAGGGTTTTAAAGAAGGGGGTGAAATAAAAGCATTAAACAAATTAAGTTGACGGCAGAAAGCCATAAGGAGGCATGGCAGCGACCTCACTAGACTACCAGGCTCCGTGTGTTCATAGGTAGCGAAGCCTTGTTCATGTGGTTCTCCAAATATATATAAAAACATGCATAAGTTTGAATGAGTGTTTACTTATTTTACTTATTTCACTTTTGGGGTCAGCAAGAAACTATTACAAAACACAGAATAATCCCATCAGGGAAGGCACGTACCTGGGAGTTCCACTCCCTCCACACGAAACAGTAATGAGTGCGAGGTGTCATAGAAACAATGAAACATTAAACATAGGAACCATTGAATGACAGAAGTGAGCTGCAAGATTTCATTTAAAACTAGAGCTTCAACAGTTGAAATTTATTAGTATGGCTGAGATGTGACGTGGGCGTAGGCAATTTGATGCCTAGAGGAAAAGGCAGAGTAAGAAAAAAGAGAGCAATGGGACCCGATTCCTAGAATCCCTATCTATGTATCTGCATCCCCCCCCCCAACTTGATTCTCTTCCTTGACTGCTCACAAACAGAGATATAGAGAGAGAGAGAGAAGGATTGCATTGTGAAGCAGATGAAATTGAAGTCAATCGTCATCCGGGGGTGACAACTTATAATTGGCCTTCAATAATGAAATCTCAATCATGCCTCATCTGACTCTTTCTTGTCCTTTTCTCCCCTAATTTTTTTTTTGGGGGATAGGGGCTTTTTAAATTTACTTTGCTTGTATGCTACACTCTACCTGAATCTTGCACGTGACGTGGTTGTCATACTGATGTAGCCGTTCAATTATTTAAACCTTGTCCATCGCATTGCATTTCATCATTCAAACACACTCCTTTTCTCCTTTCCCATATTTGAAAGAATCCCAAATAAGTTTTCTTTTCTGGGCAAAGGATAATATTATAAAGCATAAACGAGACCTTTACAGGAATTTTTTTTCACTTAAAACAAATCAAGAAATGTAGATCCAATGGGTAGGGGTTTCTGTAGAGATGAAAGAGGCAGTCAAAAGATGCATCTTTAATTCTACTTTGGCCAAAGTATCTTCTTCTGTTGATGGGGGAGAATAAATTAACTGTGTTCTATAAGGGTTTCTTTTTCTTTTTCAGCTTTAAAACCTATTCAATCGAGCTCCTACATAGTTTTCATAAATTATACTTTAAACCTCCCAAATTGGTCCTTTCAATTCTTTCTTCCTCTTTTCCGCAAAATCTTGGAATGGCTTCATCTTTCCACCCACCTCATTTATACTTGGGGATGTAACTTCATGAAATCTTCCAAAGCACACAACATATGATCATATATAGTACACTCTGTTCAGTGTGCATATGCAGGAAATCATTACTTCTTAGCATAAGGTTAAAATGGTAGGATGAAGAGGGCCACTCTAGCAGCCGGGATGGGATTTTTTTTGTGTTTTTTTTTTAGGGTTACTCGGAATTCAAAGATTTGATCAACCAACATCTTTTAAGGGCGATGCTAGAGAAAAGGCTGAGGAAAAGAACAGTGTTGTCGCTTGCTAAAGATGGGTACGAGGAGAGGAGAGGAGAGAATGAATCAGGCTTGTCGCTTTGTTTATTGTAAAAACACATACACCTTGCCCCCCCAGAGCTCCATTGTTATGCTTCTCATTTCCGTTGGCCAGTTTCTGATAATGCCCCACTCCTTCTTCCTAAAGCTTGGGCATGGGCCACAGAAGATGCGGAAATGTGAAGAACAGAAAAAGCAAGATAATGGAAGCAGTGAGATTTTTGGATTGAATCCATATACATGACTATTTGAAATGTAATAATGCTCTATTGACAGGATATTCTGGGAAGAATACCTAAAGTTTTAATCAATGTTTTACCTCCGAAATATTTTTAAAAATAAAATATTTTTACATGTTATCCTAATTAAACAAACTAATCACATATCATAATTAAAAATCATAAATTTATTAAATATGGAATTTTTTTTTGGTACTAGTAAATATAAAAGACTAATTAATGTAGGAGTACAAAAATTAAATATATCTATAACTGTATCACTATGACTAAGTAACTTATTCCGGCAAAAAAGACTAATTAAGGTAGGAGTACAAAAATTAAGGAAATACTTGGCATTCCGTATACTTTAATTTAATTTATTTATTTTATTGAATGTGTGTTAACTAATTTTAAATAAAATGACATTAATAATTGTGAAGTAGCAGTTATTACCCCTCGGGGCAATTCTTCTCCGCAATGATTTTAATCGTTTCGCTTTTATTGAAGGATAAAGAGTAAAGAGGACAAATGGACAATGTGGTGTAATTATTATGGATGAAAACAATAAAATCCCCAAATCTTCTCCCTTCCGCCTCCGCTCTGTTTAAGCTCGTGCCCGACGGAATTCAGCAAGCTTCAACTCGACGTCTTCTATCGCTGACACGGTAATCTTTAGATTTCTTTGTTTGTTCCAGCTCTCGCTTTGTGCTTCTGTGTTTTCTTATTGTTGAGCTAAAATTTACTGTCATCGGGCGTTTGTTGCCCCTAGTTTTTCATTATTGTGATTGTCACCAGAGCGCAGTATTTCATCACGTATTGGTGTGCTTGTTCATAGAATCAATCTTCCACTAAGTGGGTTCTCTTGTGGCTGCTAAAAACTGATCACGGCTTGTTGGTTTATAATTCATTTGCCAAATGCACGGTCTTTCCGCTATATTTCTGCTGAAGTCCTTTCTCTCTCTTTTCTTTTGAAAATTATGACTTTTTTTTCACATTGCTGCATGGTGTAGTTCTCAGCCTCTGTAATGATTCTTATGGATATTTGAAAACATTTTACGGATTTTCTGTATGTTTGATGATTTCCACAATTTGATGTATTTATTCATGCAAAATTTATTAGTTTCCTTTTCAACATCTTTTATAGGATTTTATTAGGTGATAGGAGAGTAATTGAATGGGAGTTCTATCACTTTTCTCAGTGTTAGGGTTAAAAATTTATATTTTAACTGAATAAATTTCTTTGGCACTCTGAAGATCAGTTGTACGTCTTGGAGTTTTCCCTTCATGTTATTGCTTTCCTGGTGTTGCTTTGTTATGTGTGTTTGTGTGTGTGTGTGTGTGTTTTTTTTTTGGGGGGGGGGGTGGGTTGGGAATCTTAGAGTTTTGCTAATTTCATTGAAGCAATGAGGCTTCCTACACGCAAAAATGCTTTTCATTTCGCATCCTTTCCCTGGGGGGTCATGACTCATGACATTTCTCCCTTGTCTTGTCCCACAGATTAATCGTTGATCTCAGTAACTATGCCATCTCTTATGTTGTCTTGGGGGGTTCTGTTGTGCCACTATTCTTGGATTTATAGTATGAAATACGTTTTAGGCTGCTAGTATCCTCTATTTGATTCAGGGGCTGTCCTATTGATTATAAAACCCTCATGATAGCGTTGTTGTTGAATCACAATGGGGTCCGTTTGTGTGTGAATTGTGAATGCCTTATGACATTTATACGCTGCATTTCTTAGCAAGAGAATTTATAAGGTTTTAGCTTTCTTTTTTCTTGTTTCGTGAGGACCATGGTAACTCTTATTTTTTAGTCTTTTTTTTACCAAATATTTCTGAGTCTTGAAAACTAGGGCACAGAGCCCACAAATGTTATTGGGATTGTTTGACAAAACCTGGGGTGCTAATATGTTCTTTGCATGTTTCATTCTCAAGCTCAAGTAAACAATCTGATCAGATCCTTTATATTTTGACAGAGTTTTCTTACTATGAAGAGGGCAATGCCGTGGAGTGATGATGATGAGGACTCATCATCAGATGAATCCTCATCATTACATTCAGATTCCGAGCACAATAGTGAAACTGGAAAGAAAAAATCAAAGGGTATTTGCCTACAATAACATCTTCTCAGTTGATAATCGCTTGTAATCTATGTTAAAGCCAAATATGTTCAACCTCGCAGTAAATTTTCTGCTGTTAGTAAAATACATAACTGAATCTTGTATACAGCTTCCAGATATCCTAGTTCCTTGACCAATGAATGTGCACTTCTGTCCACTGTGATTATGACAAATATACGTATTTTGTGAATAAATGTGTCGACAAAGATGTGATCCAAATTTGACGGAATTGGTCACCATACTCATGACTCTTTGCTGTGGTGTAGTTGTTTTAGGTAGTAAATTTTAACACGTAAGACAGGATTTATTGAACTTTGTCTGTGGAAGGGAAATAAAATTATCCCTTCCAAAAAATGGTTTTTGAAAGATGATAAATAATAACATGGAGTAGAAATTTCTGAAACTGCAAAATGGTAACCTTGAGCTAATAGAGTTCCCAGCTTGAGAACTTATATTTTTGGATAGCTTCATGCTCTATTGCTTTTGAAGCTCAGCATCATCTTGAAAATTTTCTCTCTAATTTTGTTCCTATGTAATTTTACTTTGCTATCTGTATAACTGTCTGCAGATAAATCTAGAGAGCAGAAAAGCAAAGCTATTGATTTTGAAGCTTTAAAGCGACATGGATTTAAAGGTGGACCTTCAGTCTTGAAGGTACCCCCACCAAAAGAAGGGGACAAGGAGCAAGATTGGTCTTGGTCTACTGGAAAGGAAAGGCGTGACAACAAAGAGGTTGAAGAATCATATGAAGAAAGACAGAAAACAAGAGCTGCTATATCCCTTGGGGAGCAGCTTTCAACGGTTCAGACTCAGAGAGAAAAGAAGAACATCTCCTTTTCTCAGAAGGAGAAGAGAAAAAGAGAGCTTGGTCAGGCAAGCCGAGGGAAAAATTATGTTGAAGAAGAGAAGAGGTTGTTGAGGGATAGTGGTATATATTCTGGTTTTGATACTTGATAAACGGACCTAAATTCTCTTCATCGTGTATAATGGTACTTCTTTGGGATCCCATGCGCTGAAAAGATTTGGTTGTAGCCATGGTTTCTATCGATACTTGAAAAACTCGGGATAATCCATTATGGTCTCAAGGGAAATTTGGAAATGCAATTCTTGTAGTTTTACCACTTAGATAGCGCACAATTGAGATGGCGTGGGCAGTTGAACTTGTTTTCCATTTTCATTTTACTTTGCTAGGAGGCGTCTTTATATTACTTCGTAGGAGATGTGCTTCGTTCACTCGGAGCCCCTCAATTTAATAATTCAATTCAATTCAATAAAAAAGAAAATATCCTGCTGGTTAGTGTTATTTCCCGACTTATTGTTTCGAACTGGTGATTTAATTGGAGGAGCTAAAATGCTGCCACCATCAAGCCAAGAATTCGAATGGCTTTATTAGTATGTAGCCTTGCCCTGTCATGATACCAAATCATTTGGAAGGCAAAGAGATCTCCAGAAGCAAAAGCGAGCGAATTCCTTCCTTTTTTTTTTTTTGGGGTGGACAAACGCGAGCGAATTTAAGGTGCAGTTATTTTCATAATTTTAACATCGTCAAACAAAATATCAACATGACATTTCAACAGGTCTACGGGTTCACACGTCAATCATGTCTTCTTTCTTCTAGAAAATAAAATAAAACGGGGTGGAAAAGCCAAACATTTTTCCGTAGGTGTTGAGACTCATCTTGACTGAGACCTGCACAACGATCCTCAAGTTGAAGGTGGAGCTGGCATCAAGGGCAAAATGCTGTTTACACCACAAGTGCAGAATGGTTAAGCAAGGTCTTCCCACCTCAAAATGCCCAGAGGAGCAACATGACACAGCACCATCTGCCAGCCTCGTCAGCATTCGAACACTCCATGCCGGATATGTGAGGGAAGTCACTCCGCGGCTAGAGTGGCTGATCTGCGGGAGAGTGTCCTGTATATGCCTCTGATAGTAGCTGGGGTTGTTCGGCAACAACCTCCTACAAGAGAGGCTCCCAGCTCACACCATTTATTTACATACGACACAAAATCGTCATCTGAAACCCCTGTGTTTTCCTGTATCAATAACGTACAATTAATACTATATGATTCACTATTCACCAATTATGCGAAGAGTGAAAGCTGTTAAATGATTAGATAGATCGCAATTTGCCATCTTTGTCCACCAACAAATGTATAACTTACAAACTTTCCAAACCAGAGAAAGTGACCCTCCTATTGAAAGAACTAATTAGGCACTTGTGACGTAAAAAATAAACACAACACAGCTTGAACGACAGAAAGTGGTGTTCCAAACATATGTACAGAAACTGCATTTATTGGATACGATTAAGTAATAGCTAACGCTTATGAAGTGTGCCCATTATGGTCTGAAATCAATGATTAAATAACTCGTTCAGTTTCATCATATACCATATATTTAAATATATAAACTTGCAAAAAAAGCAGTTACACAGTAATTGCAAGTCCACCACCCAAAAAAAAAAAAAGGCTTCTGAGACAGCATACGCATGTGTCAAGACCATCGTACTCACAAAGAAAGATCAATATCTTACTCCTCATTTATTACAACTTTTTTCCGCTCTTTGTCCAAGTTTTAATCATCATTTTTAGACGCCACAACTTTATATCTCTGCATCTAGTTTAATTTTCAAAAAGAATATGACCTCTCGATCCTTGAAAAACGATGCAAGATGCAACGGCAGAAGCAGAGAAAAGGAACTTACTACCCACTCCTTTTTGTCACCATCGTAGCTTTCCCCACTGTTTGGATAGATAACAATTGGTTTTGTAGTCACCTGAAGGATTAATATGTGAATCAAAGATAAGCACTCTACAAAATGGCATCTAACAATATAGAAACTAATTAGCACCAACATTTATTCTTCAGCAAATCAGAAATGGAAGAACAGACGGGTTCAATAACCAATATAGCTGCACATGAACATAAAAACAATATACGGATTTCGAGTACACCTAATCATTTTACCATATGTTGCAAATCTTACGCCCATAACATATGTACCTATTTATCACTATCCATCTAGATAGTAACCGGACGATCAAAAAGAAGAGAGCTGGGCAAGGTAGATACTGGAATTGCAGTAATTAATAAAAACCCAAAGAAAAGAAGGGGCTGGACGAACATGTTTTAAAATAATTCGAGAAAACCAAGGTCTATAATCTAGACGTGGCATACGCAAACACACACAAGATACACACACAGGAGTAAATAATTCAAATTCAATTAGGTATTGGAGAGCCAGAAGATATACCTTCTTAAGCGATAATATTAGGCCATGTATAAATCTAGGGGGAGTGCAGTTTATTCCAACAGCAATAACTCCTTTGCATGACTCGGCAATGGAGCCGCACTCAGCCAAAGGATCACCACTAACAACATTAATTCCGTCCTTGGAGTTAAATGAAAACCATGCAGGGATCTTTATGTTTTCTTCTTCTAGAAGCTTCGCATAAGCCTGAACAATAAACCACCATGGTTACTGAGAGTCAAGACCAGAAGGAAAAAATCAATGGAAGTGAAGACCATTAACATTCCAAGCTTAATGTTCTCCATCACCTACTGGGTTTTTGTCCCATTCCAGAATACTCGATATGCTCAATTACTTCTCGTCTTTAGTGTCTCACACAATATGTAAGATTAATTGCGTAGCAATTGCACCCTATCTAAAATGGAAAATTACAGCTTCCTCAGTTTCTTGTCATCAATCTCAGCAAATGGCAGATTTTGAGATCGGGCTTTTATAGTGAGAATGATTAAGAGATAGGAGCTTCTATAGCGAGAAAGGTTCAGAGACAGAAATTCTATTGGGAAGACTATTTCAGAGACAGGGGGCTTCTGTGGTGAGAAGGGTTAAGAAACAGAAACAAAGCCTCAGTTATGAGAAAGACTAAAATAAAGACTGTTCTAGATAGTGAAATCAGTTGTTTTCTTTTTTCTCTCCAGAAATCTTGCATGAGACCTTACAAAGTCCTTTAGTTGCAGTTCACGGAATTCACAAAGGCGCATGAAGAATGATAGCACATATAAGAGTGATCCAAAAATTGCAGAACTGAAATAGAAGCCCTATTACACGCATTTTCAGATTTTTCCTCAAGGATTGCTGCATGTTCTTACTAGCTTTGTTAAAAAAATTTCGTTCCCATAAATCAATGATTATGGATCGCATAAAATGCAGTCAATCAAAATAATTCAAAAAATTTACCCGTAACCTTTTGTATTATCAAGTTATTACATTTTAATTCAAAAAGCAATGAAGGAGGAGTTTCAGTTCCAATTTATCCATCAAGGATTCCAGTTCACATAATTTCCAAAGCTTTGAAGATACCTGAGCTTCTAGCTTATTTGGCACTGTTTCAAATGCAATTAAGTCAGCACCTGAATCAGCCAATATTTGAACTCTTCTCCTATGAAAATCTTTCAGAGTTTCCAACGTGATGCCATCACCATAATCGCCACTGTTAAAAAGGAAACATGAAGAAATGTGATTATTGGCAAAACCAGTTTATGATTGTGTCTATGAAACTCCATTCCTTTTCCAAACTGTTCATAGTTCTTAATTGAGAAGCTCAACAGTGCACATGCGTGCAAGCTAGACAACTGACAGTGTTCAACCAATATTGTGAAGATCATCCGACTTTCCATCAACAAGTTCAAAATTTACATGATGCCATAAAGAAAGATAATCAGAATTAATGCATTGAATAGAGAAGACTAGTCATATCACCTGTACTCTGAGCCATCAGCCAAATAAGCTCCATAGCTGCCGACTGATGCTGCCACAAGGATTGGACGTTGTTTGAAAACTTTTCCATCGTGCTTATCTTCTGAAGAACATGCAGCACATCTTTCATAATATATACGTCGAGCTTCGAGAGCAATTTCAACACTTTTCTTGAGCAAGGCTTCACTTTCTTCGTTAGAAAAGCCTTTAGCTAGAAAACCTTGAATGGTGGCCTATGCACCCAAAAACGCCTCAAGTTCGGTTTTAAGAACAGAAAACATATAAAACCGCGTCCTTAGCAAGTACTTACCTGATAAGATGCTGTGATTAAAATATCGGCACCATTTTCAAGATAATCAAGGTGTACCTGCTCCATCAAGTAGGTCCGTGAATTATCGAAAGTTTATAACTATCACTAAACGGAACAAACAACAACAACAAAAGAAACCCTTCATAAATCCAGTTAAAAGATAAACGGTGAATTTCAGGTTCAGAAACGTTCCTAAAATGGCGATATTGAGACGGAGTTCGCCATAGTTTGCAAAATAGGACAAACGGATGGATAAATAATTAAAGTAAATTGACAAATAAAATTTACGACGTTCTCAAATATGAATCAATCATCTGTGATGCTTGTGTAATATGCCAATAGCTAAGTCAGACTCATCAGCTTCCGGAAAATTGACAATTTCCACAGAGAGGGCCCACTGGTCTCTTGGAGTGGATATTGGGAACAATTTTGGATTCCAAGAACTACTAAATAACCCAACACTGTTAGTTTCAATCCAGGAAAGAGTACCTCACGAATAAGGTGGGGTGAGGCGAGGAGGCATTTGGCACTCCAGAGAGGATCGTTGAGGTCGGCACCGTGGCGTTCGAGCTCCGTCGCGAGGCCGCCGTCGATGACGGCTGTGCCGCCTGCCTGGCGAAGGAAGTCAGTGAGCAATGATGGCATTGGGCGGGCGCGATAGGGTCAATGAACCAAGACGTTGGAGCGCAGCTCTGAATTTCCAAATGCCTCACCCTGCTCCCCAGATCAGGTATACTGTCCCATTCAACTCGCCTTCATAGTTCACAGTACCATGTTTCTGGGATCCATCGAATGATTAACTACACTGGTAGCTTTATTTCATTCTTAATTTAATGAGGAAATTGCAAATAAAAACCCTCTAATATATACAATTGTGATTTGAGACCCTTAATTTGAAAAATAGCAGATAAAGACCTGGTCTCATATTGTAAATATGAAATTTTAGTGAAATGTCTAAAATGGCTCTTGGTCAAATGACAAATTTACTTTAGCGAATGACAACTTCAATAGATTAAATCACAACTTGGCTAAGGATATGCTAAATAGCAAGTTTACTATGAGAAATGACAGGTTTATTTTAGTGAATGACAACTTCAATAGGCCAAATCACAATTTGACTGAGGGACATTTCAGACATTTCACCAAAATTTCATATTTATAATATGGAACCGGGTCTGTATCTACTATTTTTCAAATTAAGAGTTCCAAATTGTAATTTCACATATTAGAGGTTTTTATTTACAATTTTTTCTAATTTAATTTTCATAATTTTTATGACTAGAAGAGTAATAAAGGCAGTGGATCTGTGGATGTAGGTAGTCACAAAATTAAGACAATCCTGATACGAGCTAAAAGAATTTATACTTTAATTTTTAAAATTATTATATTTATGAATTTAATATTGATTTTTTAATTCTAATACCTTTTTTAATCGAGTTTTATTTATGCAGTCAATCACACATTGGCTATTTGTTTTAGTATTAAAGGTGTGTGTAATTTATACTCTTAAACTAAAACCTAAACCAATACATGGACACAATCATCAGTATAAAATTGAAATCTAAATTAAATCTTATTGCAGGACTCCTATCGCCTATTCTCCTTTCTTGTCAGCCTTTTCTTTTATTCCTTCTTTTCTTTTTCATTTGTTGACTAATAATCCGAACTTTTTCTTCTGGGCATCATCTCATCTAGCTCTGCGCTGATTAAAAGACAAATGGCCTGTTTGGGATAATAATAATAATAAAAAAACGCTCATATGTAAATTGAAATAAAAAAATTTTTATACTTATTTCATAAATCATAATTAAAATATTATTTATAAACTATCCTAAACAGATGTAAAATCCGGTCTATGCTACTAAAAACACAAAAGTGTGTAATGAACTAAAGCCAATCGCATGTTTGATAAATATTAACAACAGCATATTACCACCCCCCCCCATTAAAAAAATCATTTTAGAATTTTTTGTGATTTTTTAAAAATATTTTTAGTTCTGAAAGTTTATGGATGCTTCCATTAATCTTTTTGCTATTTTACTCTTTGTCAATATCTCAATCTAATCTAATGAACAATGACGCAGTACTCATTTTTTTATCAGTTATATGGAAGTGGCTGAGCACTCGGACATGTTTATTTTGGAGCCAAAATACTCTTATACTGCCTCTCGTGATTAACTAATATGAAGAGAGTAAGAAAGTTATTAAATTTAGTAACTTTTTTAATTTTTTTTTAAATTAGTTCACTAATTTTTATATTACCATCTCTGGTCCTAAATATAAAAAGTAGTAGATTAATTTGAGTAGATTAAAAAAATAATTAAGTTAGTTATTTATAATAAATAAGTGTTGTCTTTCTTAAAATATAGTTATTAATCAAGTTTATTGGCTCTAAGCCTCTAACTACTGTTCTTAAAAGGACTATCTTAAAAAATAAATAAATAAATATGAGAGATAAAGTGGATTGAGGTTTTAAATTTAGGACTAAAATAAAAATCAAACGAGGTTTTATATTAAAAACTAGAGGTGGTAATAACCAGAGGTGGTATTTTAATTTGTAATATATATATGAATTAGGGAAAAAAGTTTGAAATTAGTAAATGTCAAAATGAGGAGCTAACACTTAATGATATCAAAAATAAAGGAACAGCCTCAATGAGAAGCTAACACTAAATAATGGCGAAAATAAAGGAACAGCTTTTGAAATTAAAAAATAATAATAAAATGTTTCTTGTTTAAAAAAAGTTTCCAACTCCTTGTCCGAGACACACCACCAATGACGTCAAGCAGAAAGAAGCGATGCAGTTTTGTGCTAATTTGAAACTATTAATATAAGTATTCTTACGCGAGTTTGAGATTAAAAATTTTTTTTTTCATATATTTATCTTATATTATTTTCAGTTTTAATTATAAGATCTTATTTATAGATTGTAAATAAAATCTTATGATTAGCACAGGAGCTAGTATTTCATTGAAAAGTTGTTGGAAGGAATCATAATTCCAAGCAATGTGGTCCACTAGTGTATGATATGTGTCGGAGCGATGGTGAATTGGTGATGATTGAGTGAGAAATGCGATTCTTCTGGTGGCCCCGCGTTTCCCCTTCCGCTCTTTGTTTCCTTTTGTTTCGTGGCTCACCGTCACTTGAACACTGTATACTGCCCCCATAATATCACTTTCACTCATTCGCTCCTCCACGCCTCAGATTTGAGAGGCTGCTTCTTACTTTTGTCACTATGTTTGGCTCATGATTCCCCATCGCATCCCCGTCCCTGTCCATTTCGTTTCCATTTTGAATTTTCCAGCATACATAATTATATTTAGATTTCATATTTTTCTCAAAATCATAATCATTTTAAAGACGAAATTACTAATAATCTGTTTTTTGGTCAGGTTCGTAATGATACTAACTCTTAAGGATATTTACAACTTTTAGGACAGTTGAGTTTCAATGTTTCAACGCATTCATAAATTCTTCATCTCACACTCCTGCTCTGAAGCAACCCAACGAATCTCCGAGTAATGGGACGCCTTCTCTCTCTAAAGGGGAGGGGACCCCAGCAACATCAATTTCAAAACTCACAGGCCACCGTCCAGGCCTCATCTTAATTCTTTACCTTACCATCATTCAATATGGCACGCATTGCTTCTGCTTCCTTCGCTTGTGGTTTGAATTTAACGTCATTTTCATATACTGCGACTGGAATATAGATTTATGACTATTCTGTATCAATTTTACTTCTTGATATTTGTTTGTTTCTTATAAAAAGAAAACACTTTAACATTGGTAGCCAAACATCTTATAGATTAATTTTTCTCATTAAAATCATAAAATTAAGATGTCGTCAGTGCTTTTTGAAATCATTAATGAGATCTTTAATACTAAATTTAAAACATCCGTATAATTTTATTTAAGATTAAATGATAAATTTAAACAAAACGATTTTTAATTTTAAAATCAGTGATGATTCTTCTCACCTTTTTTATTTTTAATTTTATTCTTAAAATTTTCTTACTCTCAATCTTGTAAAATTTGACTAACTAATTCCCTTGTTTTCAATCGGAATATACTCTTAATTAGCTATTCTTATAGCTCTGACCACCACCCAAGGGGGAAAAAACTGATGTCCAGAGCCAGTCTTGTCCTCTAATAATAGTCTCATTTCAATCTCCAATACATAGCAAATAAGTGCATCCAAAAAATTAAAAGAAAATGAAAACCTACAGATCTAGCTTTTACCATAAACAAAACAGAAGGAAATTAAAAGCATAAGACGAAGAGAGGGTTGGACAAAATTAAAGGACTCCACCAGGACAAAAACACCAAAAACTAGATTGGTCTTTTGAAATCATGCGTCCTCCCTTGCTTGTATCTATTGCCTCTAACATTCTCACTACCTCGTCCATCTCAGGGCGTTTATCTGGGTCTTCATCCCAACATTTTCGCATGATCCTTGCAAGTGCACTTGGGCAACATCTTGGGATTTCTGGTCGCATGTTCTGTTCCAAAAAACAAAACAGTTTCACTCAATGTAAGAGCTAATGATACGTGGTATAAGCAGAACATTTAGAAAAAGAAAAATTTGCAAACCTGTCGGACAATCCCCGTAAATACATCAGAAATCTTGTGAGTAGGATAAGGCAAGTCACAGCAATATATCTCCCACAAGCAAATCCCAAAACTATACACGTCACATTTTTTATTGTAAGGCTTACCATTAAGCACCTGCCACCAAATAATTGTTCATCATCTGTCTCAAACGTAGAAAACTATGCCCCAACAAAGCGAGAATCGTAGAATTTCTTGGAAGCTTATTAGTGAAACGAGCTGTGTTTATTGTAAAATTAAAGCATAATGATGATTCAGTTAGACGATACATCAGATGTCTGCAGAGTAATAAAAGCAGGTTACCTCTGGCGCCATATACCAAGGGGTGCCAACCCCTCCAGTCATTTCACATGGGTTCTGAGCCTCAATTCGAGCAACACCAAAATCAGCAATTTTTGCGGTTCCATTTGCATCCAACAAAATATTTTCTGTCTTCACATCACGGTGCACAATCTTTTTAGTATGAAGATAACTCAATCTGAAATTGATCCCAAAAAACACCATAACTGTAGTCAAATACGCCTATTATAACCTTACGAGAATTTATCAATTCCTGCTTTCGCAAGAAGCGATACTCACCCTCTGGAGAGGTCCAACGCAAGTTGAATGGCAACGTCAAAATCAAGTTTCTTCCTTCTGTTCCCCATCAGAAACTTCTTTAGCGTCCCCCCAGGGACAAACTCAAGAACACAACATGCCTGGGCTGGAATAAATGAATAAACTTCACTTGATACATCTTCAGAAGAAATTTTCACATATGAGTTTCCAATGGAGGCTCCAACAAACTGCATAGAAATTATCCATTTAGTCTCATCATCATCAGGAAACCACATTATTCAAGAACCATGAGTAATGTTAATGGAATACATCTCTCAGACCCCATGCAACTAATCCCACACCTAGTTTTATTTACTTAAGAACTAGAACAATCTATAATAATCTAAATCAGATACAAAAAAGTAGAACAATCTATAATAATCTAAATCAGATACAAAAAAGTCCATATATTCTAGTTCTCTGTAATTGTGTGATTTCTCGTTCCTCCAAAAGCAGTAGACTAGGAATATGCATACCTTTGTAACATTTGGATGATTAAGTTTATGCCAAGCAGCAACTTCTTGCTGAAATGATGCCCGAATAGCCGCTGCGTCAGTGTCGGTGTCCCTCCAATCAAATACCTTCACTGTAAATGATGGGAATCCGTTCCAATGATCAAATAAAACACAAAATATCAACGTTAAAAAAAGGAAAAAAACTGAACCGGATCGGCCAGTTCAACCATAAAATTACTAGTCCAATCTAGAATCATGCCAAAAATCAAAAAACTTAGAGCCCATAAAAAGTTGTGAAAGCCGTAAAAGAAATCAGTGAAACACAATAATTGATGGTTCGGCCGGTTCATGTTAACGGTAAATTGTGTGCGTGTGTAGTTAAGACTTGCTCAGCGGCGGTTTAATCAAAAAGTGCCTGATTAATTCAACGTAGACGTCCGATAAATATTTGCAAAATACCAAGAGCAAAATCTACTTTGACGTGTACAATAATCCATTCATGAACGAAAATTAAAAGCCAGATCATTCGAGAGAAATATACCAGCAACGTCTAGGCCGTCATAAACGCCACGGTAGACTGTTCCATAGGCTCCGTGATCTATAGCACGCCTTATGTCCAATTTGGAGGAATCAATTTCCCAGTCTTCCTTCTTCTTCCGCGTCGCATCTCTCGACAGAACTTTATTCAAGTGCTTGTCCAGCTGACTATCCCAATCCTTGAAATCAATCTTATCAGCTCTCACACATATTCCTCGATCGTTGAAGCTAGCGCTCTTTTCCTTCACGTTTGAACACAAACTCTTCTCTTTCGAGTCAGGTTTTTCTATCGCATCGTCCTTTACGGTGCCATTCAATTTCTCGGCCATGACACCTTTTCCGACCTACGCCCTGAAGCTTGGAAAGCTTGGATTACTTTTAATCTGCGATGGAGGAAATCATGAATGTACACTCACAATGGCGAAAGATTCCAAAGAAAAAGTAGAACGAAAAAGTCGGGGGAAGTTTTCGTTGGAATCTAATAACTTACCTCAAAATAAACTAATCAGAGTGGGGTAATCCGAATTTCATTCCTAACAGGCCGTGGTAATTTCTTGATACTAAAATCCGTCGAATTTAATTGGGAAGAACACCTAAAGATAGAGACAAAAACACAGAATCCTTCACCCAGCAATCGTTTCGGACGAATCACAACAATTACATAAATGAATTTACGTTTTATTTGGTTAGTTATCATCGCCAAGTGTCAATTATAAAAGACCTTAAAAAAAAACAGTAAAAGTCAACGCATTAAGAATATCCAATATGCGAGGAGGAGGCGTGATGTATGACCTATGCACGCACGAGGCGTGGTGATGATGGATTCGTTTGTCCGCAAGGGTCAGGCTATGCGAATGCGATCGTGGTTTGGACTTTTAATATAAAAATTAATTAACTAATTTAAATTAATTAGGAAAATTTATTTAAATTAATTATTTGTAATAATATGTATTGTGCTCTTATTAAAATATCATTATTAATCAAATGTATTGGTTAAACCACTATTATTATAAGAACTATTTTGAGCAAAAATAAATAAATGTGTGAAACAAAATAAATTGGAGTCTTTTATTATCAAAATAAAAATCAAACAAATTCTTATATTAAAGACTGAAAATAGTACTCCCTCCGTTCCTTATTATAAGAGACAAATAACCGAAGTACGTTGATCAAAAAAACAGTTAAAATTAGTTAAGAACAATTAATGTGTAAAAAGTATAATTTTTTTTCCAAAAATGCCCTCATTAATAAGGAGAGAGAGCATGAGAGAGAACAATTAAATTATTAAAAGAAAGAGAAGTGAGAGGGAGAGAGAGTGTGAGTTGGAGATAATAAATATGGGTAAAATAGTAAATTAACACAAAAAAAGTAGAGACAACTTGTAAGTGTCTCTTATATATAGGAACATGCCATAAGCATCAAATGTCTCTTATAATAAGGAACGGAGGGAGTATAACATTAGTATTAGTATTATACAAAATAAATAAAATAATATTTTGATGAAATAAAAAGATAAAATAACAATATCAAAATATTAAATTTATACAAATAACGATATCAAAAACTTAAAATTATCCACATGCTAATACGGAGTCACATGATAGAACGGTAAATTCCTTTTTCTGTCTTTGCCGCAATAAGCTATCCCTATAAATAATCTTTTATACTACCTCCGGTCTTTAATATAAGACCCCGTTTGACTTTTTGTTTGATCCTAATTATAAGACCCCAATCCATTTTGTCTATCATATTTATGTTTTTTTTTTCCAATATAGTCCTTCTAATAATAATAGTTCTAGCCAATACACTTAATTAGCAAGGATATTTTAGGAATGACAATACTTATTTATTACAAATAACTAACTTAACTTACTTTTTTAATTTTCTCAAATAAGTCAAGTGAGTCTTATAATTAGGACTGGAGGTAGTATTAGATTAGATATTGTATTGACAAATATAATAATTAATCATGACATGACACGATGACAGCGGCTATACGCATATAGCATTAGACATTATACGGATAAAATAATATCAAAATATTAAAATGATCTATATGCTAATGAGATTTCTCATAGGCTAATATGTAATATCCGGTGTCATGTGTGAGATCTGGTGTGATAATGTATCCTTATGAATAAGCCATTATGCCGGATATTGAAAGCCATATCCAATAAATACATTATCTCCAACCCTGGATATTGGATCTAAATAAAAGATTTATTTTAATAATGAATATAAATTTTCAATTTAATTTGTCCCTAATTCATTTTTTTTTCCAAAATATCCGATTGGTTGTGTATAGTAAAATAATTTCCATTCAAAATAGTTATAATATACTATTGTGATTCTTAATGTAAGACTTAATTTGATATTGGTCTTATATGTAAAACTTCTTTTATATGCTTATCAATTTTTGTCAAATTAATCCTACCGAAATTCCCTCAACAATAATGAAGTAAAAGAAGAAAGAAAGAAAATTAAGAAAAATAATTAACATATTTTAGAATAAAAAAATCATGTTAACTAATTTAACTAACGTCCTTAATCTATTCAAATTAATTAATTATGTCTTTCATTAAGGATAGGAGGAATACTTAATTAGAAAGAATATTATGAAAAAAAACAACAAATTTATTATAAATAATTGAATCTTTTTATTATTCGTAAATAAGTTATCTAATTTTTATATCAAGTAATGAATAAAATAATGATTAATCACACAACAGATATTTGCAATAAATATTACTCCAGCTTAAAAACGTAGCAGCACTGCTGCAGACGATGCATACTTCCGTTCAAGTTATTGTTAACTTTTATTATTAATGCATTGAGGGACTGCCTGTAATAGTACATACATATACCCATTTTGTAACTCGCGGATTGCGGAACAAGCATTCGACACGGTGGACAACGACTTTCCCATTCTGTTGGAATCAAATTCATCGGCATATAACAGGCATTGTGAAAGCCATATAATTACTTCGCTCTTGATTATCCAGAGAGAAGCCTCCCTTAACAAAAGCCTGGTTGGACTTGGAAGCAGTTTTCTGTGTATCGATTTATTCATCCTGCCCAAGCACAAAAACAAAATGTTGGTAACTATACAGGATCATGAGTGGTAAACATTAACAATGACCTCTGCAGAGCAGATCCCACACACACACCCCTTATTTCCCCCCAGTAAGGCAAGCCAACAAATAAAGAAGTTTTACAATTACTTAGGCGATAATAAAACAAACAGTTGATGTTTGTCTGCACAATTTTCAGAAGAACATCATAGCACATCTCAACATATGTGGCCTCGACTTTGTGGTGATGACAAAAAAAAAGAACTTGGGAGAATTCTGAGCTAGGATAAACAGATTCATAAAACCCAATGCAAGTCGTAAAGAGCTTGTGAATAATAAATCACAGAAAAAGAAAATCTCACTGTTAGTGCAGCTTATATGGGATTTTGTATTTTTGTAGATATATAAATTGGTAATTATTATATATGAGTTGCCAAAGGAAAATGTATCTCGCACCTACAAAAGAAAATGAACATCAATAACAAAGAAAAGTCGCCTTTCCAGAATGTTTATTGATTCATCCTCACACAATTATGTTCTGTGCCAATCATTTAGTCCGCAGCCAAAGGGAAGAATGGCAAAGGCAATTAACTAACCTTTACATTGAAAAGAATACTGCCATCAGAAACCTGTTCACCAGCCGTAACTCGAAGCCCAGTCACGTAGCCAGATGATGGTGCCTTTACAACATGCTAATGAAAGTAAAGAACGATAAGTTAAGGCTTTATGGATCGCAAAATAAAAAAGAGCAGGAAGCCATTTCCCAAAGTTTTATGAGCAATTGCACAAGCACAAACCTCCATCTTCATTGCTTCTAAAACTAATACAGGCTGCCCCTCCTCTACTTTTGTCTTGTTCTTCACCATAACTTTAACCACCAAGCCAGCCATGGGGGCCACTACAGTACCCCGAGGGTGGGCTGCTGCTTCATATTTGGGCTTATGTTGGGATTCTTCATCCTCAGACAACTCGAGCCCTATTTTTTCTCTGAAATAATGATGATAAGACCCTTGCCACACATGAATATGCCTAATGTGATCCTGCCAGAATTTGAAAAAGCTGGGTAAACCGGTAATGAACTTTCATTTTTATTAATAATAATGTATATAGAGCACTAAGAATATTTCCACTAATTTAACCCCATGTACACTAAATAATGATGCATGTAGAGGAACAAAATTACCTTTAAGTAGACAGCTAGATTAACTTCTTTGTTTACACCATCGGCTTCAACTCTAAAATAATGGTCTCTTAAATATGTTGCTTTGGCTTCTAAAGCAGGAGATCCTTCTTCTTCTGTCTGAAAGAATATGATAGCATCTTGAGTCTAAAACGAGAACTTGTGGCACGTGACAATAGAATTGACAAATTATTACTCCGCTATATTTGTGATACCTCTATCAGGCATCTGCCATCAGGCTGACAAGTGACGGTAAGCTTCAAGAGCTTGGAGCTACCACTATCATAATCATTATCCCACTCAAGTTCCATACTACGCTTAGCTTGATGATTGACTCTGAAAGGCGGATAGGCATACCATATAGGGTGTAAGCTGCCATTCCCTGAACATACTAACAAATCTGAATTAGAATGAGATTTGGAAATAACTTAGACATATTGCACTAGAATGGGGCAGTTTACCAGGGGGATTCCTTGTCAACATGAAATGCTCTTTTGCAATGAGACATGCAGCAGCCAGGGATGCACTAAGTCTGGCAGCTTCATATGCTTCTTTGGCTAAAACAGAGTTCCCGGGATCAACAAAAAGATCATCTTTGTACTTATCAATAAAATGAGTCTCCACCTTGCCATTTCAAAAGCCTGGTGGCAGGCGAGCTTTTGAAGGAAGTTGATATTGGTTGGTAGCCCTGCAACCTGTGGAAAGAAATGTTAGTAGAAGTTAGAGCAATTTTTGAAATTCGGAGTACAAAGAAATAATACTTCAGAATTACACGAGATTTGCCAGAGGGAGGACTGGCTAGATAATAACATATTTTATTTTATTTTCTTCCTTCCTCAGGTTAAGGGCTGTGACACCACGTCTTCAAGCTCAAGCATCCTACTAAATTAATCCTTCGACCCCATAGGCTTAATTAAGTGTAAGTCATACTCATAAAGGGTTTCACTCCAGAAGAAGTTGCACCTTACCGCTACACTCTCAACCACTACACTTCACAGTGCATAGTAGTGAGTATTGTTAAGATCTCAGGATACCTGAAATTTTGACAAACAATCCCTCAGTTTGACCAAAGCTGCAGCACGATTTTCACCCCACACTACAAGCTTAGCGATCATGGGATCATAGTGCATGCTGACAGTGTCGCCTTCCTTGACTCCAGTCTCCACTCGAACTGCCAAAATAGCAGATTGCACACAAGTAAATGAGCGATGCATGACAACAAAAACACCCATAACAACATATTCAAGTTTCACGTTCTTCAGCAGGAGAAAATGGGGGTTACATGATTCACCATATAGTAGTTACTTGGCTATCATATTATAAGACTATAAATGACCTGTGGAGGAGACTGGATTATGATGATAATGATGAAGAACTCCAGTTGCTGGAAGAAACCCCTTCGGAAC